GGAGGCTAGAGCTAACCCTTGTGTGTGGATTCCTCCTGGTAGGCTCAGCGAGGATTTCCTTTACGCTGTGATCATAGTCTTTATTTATTACAACTCTCACCAAATATTTTTTATAAATGTAAGATTTATAATCTGTTGTCATAGCTTATATACTAATATTTCATCATACCATGAATATCTATTTATTTTTGCTGTAATTCTGATCACATGTTTACATTCCGCTGTTACAATAAATTATTCATAACTTTGATAATATGATTACATTCCGTTGTTATAATAATAAATATTATACTATGATGTTGTACTACATGTGATGTAAGAAATGGTTAAGAATGATGTAAGCTTTATTCTCTCATTTGTGATCCTGATGGCAAAAATATGGATTTTTGGGTTCTCCACTGGGGTGTGCCCGACGGAACCGAGTAATTTGGTGTCCTCCCTTGGGTGCTTAGTGTCTAATGAAAGGCAAGCACTCCTAGGAGGCATTAGATTAGGCGGTTCTGTCACAATGGACGCTATGAGAGGGTACGGCGAAGACATGTACGGCGGGGGAGACTTCAACGACACCCGTGGCAGGAATTTTTGCTCCGTTTGCAAAGAATCTGGTCACAAGGCTAGCAGGCATAGAAGATGAGGGCAGCAGGTGCTTTTATATTGTGTTCGTATTGCATAACAAGTTGTTCAAATTTTGCAATGCTACATAATGTTAATTTGAATATTGCTAATTTAAATACTCTAACCCTTTATTTATTAATTTGTAACATGATGGCCCCTCCCACACCACACCAGTTGTACCCTCTTCTTGAGGTGGAGTACGACGATCCTCTTCTTCTATCGGACAATGAGGTTTCCAAAAGGCGTTCGAGGGATTCTTACATTCCTAGGTCTTAATTCCTTACATTGAACTTATATCAAACGAATATTGTCGTCCAAAACTTGCAGACTCATGAACCAATGAAAATGTTGTGGTAACTTGTCGTCCATTTATTTGCTTTATATTCGTTTCAACTTGCGCACGGTTGTGGCAGCACTTGTAGTTGTTTACAGCACCGACAACAGCTCAATTGAGGATGGTCGGTTTCTGTCCGCGTCACTGCCGCGCCGTGGGCTATGGCGCGTCACTGCCGCGCCGTGGACTCAATCAGACAACACAATCGGTGATTCAACGGTGCGACCAGCTCACTTTCTGTGCTCATCTAACTTATTTTTCTCATACCTTGCACGAGCCACCTCTACATCATGTTCCTCGCTGCATCCAATCTCTTCATATATAAAATACAATCAGTTAGCAACACGATTATATTACATTTAAAATCAGGCAACGAAAAAGGCTTTCAAACACTCACTGGCACATAATGCAACAACATGCTCGTTTAAGACCTGCATCTATACTCTTGTCTCCTCCCTTGCCTCCTTCCTTGCCCTCTCCTCCTCTAACGTCATCCGTCTCTCCAATCCTTATTTGTTAAGCCCAACATCGATCGGGTTATAAATACTACGCTGTCTAGCAAACTCACGTATTTTGTCTTTGTGATGTTTAATGAATAGGTTGACGTAGTCAGGTCCATATCCCCTCTTCCGTGCAATTACTTGCTTCCCCTTCAGTTCATCTAAGAACTTAGTTTGACCATCGTAACATTCTCACCTGCATTTTCTAGTGCTCTAGTCAAACGAAAAATTATATCATATATGTCTTAACAAAAGAAACAAAATACGATTTTATGGTTACCACAAAAAATAACCAACCTCATTATAGTCAACCATATGGCCGCAATAATGGCCTATTCCAAGCTCCAAATGGACTAGACCGTAGTTGGATTTAACACCACATTCGCACTTGACTGGAGGTGCTTTGTAAATTAACCTTTCTTTCTTCTTTTACTTTACCTTTGGAGGTTCTTCTAGCCATTGGTTCTTAGGACCATACAACCACTCCTTGAAACGATACTTCGCCATTGAATACCCATAAATAAGGTGACATTAGTACATGAACACATATAGCTCAACATTTCAACACATACACTTTGCACTTACTTCATGCTTGTTTGGACACAGAAACTCCAACGTATTCTCAGGGTTTATCACAGCTCGATCTCCGCAATCGCACAGAGGAGGTTTCTCGAGTCGTCTAACTGTGGCTAAGTGCTTCTCCTTAGCCATCATTGGAGGGGGGTTAGGGGGGGTGGAACCCACTGCTCGAAGTGCTCTCGTGAATATCGCCATCTCCACCAATCGTCGAAAAGAAGGTACATGGGGTTAAACTTGTCTGCACCGTCGATCCACTGAAAGAAAAGACACCTCTCATGGGCCTACACAATAAAATTCCAACAAAATATTAGTATCCTATTAATACAAATGAAGAAAAAAACATACGGAAATAATTACTTACATTAAAACGACTGCATGTGTAGAAGCAACGAGCCGTTGTGTCCGGATGTCTCGATTGAATCACGTCGGCCGGACGACCATAGTCACAGTTAGGGACAGTGAGTTCAGGAGGGACGCGAGCATCTTTGCTAGACTCGTCGGGGTACAATTCTCTAGGACGACCCCGTTTTCGCTACAACTGCTCCCGAAACATGTCTTTCATCTAATAAAATGGTTCAAATTAAACATCAATCAAAACAACGCAAATTAATGTAAAATATAATCATTTGCATTGTAACTAAAACAATATAACCAACACTTATAACAACAAAAATATACATGGTAAACATACTTCTAACTAAATAATTAACCTTAACATTGACAAAATCAAACTAATATCTTCCTTCAAACCGTAGCCCATAGTTCCTAAACATAATTTTTCTCCTAACCTTAACTCCCATTCATAATATTCCTATACACCATTCAAACGAAAATAAAAAGTGCGTCATTACCTTAAACGAGGACAAGGACGAGGACGAGGAGGGAGGGAGGCGGTCGAGAAATGGAAGGGAAGGGAGGGAGGGAGGCGGCAACGGAGGGTCGGGCAGGCGGCGGGCGTGGCGGCCAGGCGCGGGCGGGCGTGGGCAGGCGGGCTTCTACTCGGGCAGGCGGGACTGGCCGCGGGGCTTTTATTCGGCTCTGCCACGCCACGGATCAGGGCACGGCACTGCCGCGCTAAGATCGGTGGTGCGGCCGGCTCTACCACGTCACCGGTCAATATTTCCGGTCATTGCCATGTCAGCCACCCGCCGCGCCATCATACATGGTACGGCACTGGCAATATGCGCGGCCAAAAATGTTAGTTTAAAAAAAACAATGTTAAATTTAAAATTAGTTTAAAAAAGTGTTAAAATTAAAAAAAATCATCTCAGCTCCCCATCCCCATCCCCACCATGGCCAGTCAGTCCTCACGGCTCACGAGTTCCTCAATCCCTAACCCTAGCTGCAGGGGGCGGCGGCGGTGTGAGGAGACGCGCTGCTGCTGCGTGAGGAGACGTGCACGGCAGCGGCGACGCTAAGGAGCCGTGCACTGCAGCGGCCGCAGTGCGCGGCTGCGGTGCGTGAGCTGCGGCGGCACAAGCAGGATCGCCGAGGCCAAGCGGAGCGCGGGAGCAGCCTGTCACAGGCTCGCGGCGGCATTCGCGAGCAGGACGAGCGCAGGGACGCGGCCGTCGCGAGCAATTTGGGTGGGTTCGGTTTAAACTGAGAAACTGAAGCAGAAAACCGAACCCAAAATTGTCTGTTTTCATTTTTCAACCAGACCGATCGTTTGCTATTTCTGGAAAACCAAATTTCTGTGAAACCGAATAAACCAAACCGAATTTGCTGTTTAAACCGAATGCCCAGTCTGATATGGCCAGGGAAGTACTCGAGTCGCACATCTGGCCTGCGACGCGAGCGGTACTTGACTGAATCTTCACTGGGCCGGCGGCGGCGGCGGCCGGCACGCAGGAACAGGATGAGGACCCAACTCAACTCAGCTGGTTCCTTTTCCAAAAAGTAGTTGGCATTTTCCATTGACGATTTGTGCCTGTGCGTCCATGAATGCAAAAGACACGCATGCCATTGCCATCCAGGAAATCAACGTATACCATGACGAGAGTAAGCTGTGCCTGTGCTTGTAATGTCTCCTCCCCAGGCCAGAGAAGTGCAGCGCATGGTCTACAAAATGACACCTCCCCGCTTGACGTGAGACCCAGTCCGACTCGCCTCACGCGTGCCAGCCGTCGCGAGCAGTGGAAACTCCGTCCGGATGCTTGGAAAATCCCGGCCGGATTGCTTACGACGTGCCGGGTCGGCGTCCTGGACCGAGCGCGATGTGTTTTTCTACGTTTTCTTGCTGCTAGGCTCAGCAGTTGCCATCTGCCCGTGCTCGTCTAGACCGCGTCCATGCTTCAAGCTCCAACAGGGTTTTACTAGTATTTTCCATGACATCTTCCGCTAAGCTCGTAACTGCATGTCTGACATGCCTGTGATGGGGATTTGTCGAATAACATATATGGGGCGTTCGAAAAAAAAAAGAATAACATATATGGGGCATATATGGCTGTCCGATAAGAGCTGCGCTGTAGACCACTCCAAGCATATGGTATCCCTTCTTTCAATGTCCAGGCTAACTAAAAACATGTCCATGGACAGGCCCATTTCATTTGTGCACCAAGTAACAATCCACTAGTTTAAATAGAAAATAACACTTTTAGATTCCGACACATACAGGTGCGCTTTTGGAATCCACAGTAATAAGCAGAAATTTACCAGGTCAGATAGACAATATTTTTCCAACATTTCCAGTCCAGCTTACTGGTACGACATCAGTGAAAAACCACGGCACCTAACTCCGTAGACCAAGCGCCGGACAGCTGCAACTTTCTCAGCCAATCTGCGTACGTACTCGGCAACACGCTCCACAGGAATATTAGCGTACACACCACACCAGAGAGGCAGAGACGGTGCCGCCGCGTCAGGTCAACTCCTGTAGCCGCGCGTTCCCGTCCTTCAAAATCTCCGTCCCCTCGGGCCTCGGCACACGTTTCTCCCTCGCGGGCGTCTCGTGTCGTGTCGTGTCGCTCACCATGGAGCGGGAGATAAACGGCGGCGCGGCGACCGCGGGCGAAGGGAACGGCTTCTTCTGCCACGACGACGCGCAGGTGGAGGCCATGCAGCGGCGCGTGGACGCGGCGGCGCCCTTGGCCGACGACCCCTACACCATCTTCCGCCTCCCCTCGGCCGTGCGGGAGCGGCACCGCGACCTGTACGAGCCCAAGGTCGTGTCCGTGGGCCCGTACTACCACGGCCGCGCCGGCCTGGGCGCCGCGCAGCAGCACAAGTGGCGCCTCCTCCGCGACTTCCTCTCGCGGGGCGGGAAGAAGCAGGCCGCCGCCGGTGGCGGCCTCGGCGCGTACGTGCGCGCGGCGCGTGAGGTCGAGGCGGACGCGCGCCGGTGCTACGCCGAGGGGGTCGGCCTGGGCGCGGACGAGTTCGCGGAGCTGCTGGTGCTCGACGGCTGCTTCCTTCTCGAGTTCTTCCTCAAGAAGAGCGAGGGGCAGCTCGCCGCGCCCGGGGGCGCCAAGTGGGCGTGGCACCACATGTACCACGACGTCCTCCTGCTGGAGAACCAGATACCCTTCTTCGTCATCGAGAAGCTGCACGGCGTCGCCTTCGCCGGCGACGACGGCGGCGCTGATGAGCGCGACGCGCTCCTGGACATTTTCTGCAAGGCCTTCGCCGGCGACCTGCCGTCGAGCCGCGTCATCCGGCCGCGCAGCGACAAGACCATCCACCATCTGCTGCACCTGCACTACGAGTGCAACGTCCGCAACCCAGCTGCCGATAGCGACAAGGCCCGCCGCAACAGCATTGGCGACGCCAACGGCGCGTCGCTGGCCATCTGGAAGCAGCCGGCAATCCCGTCGCCGCGCTCCGGCGAGGGCGCCGGCGCCGGCAGCAAAGGTCGTCTGACGTCGATGATCCCGCCGGCGGGCAAGATGGAGGAGGCCGGCGTGACGTTCAAGCGCAAGGCGACCCCGCGGGACGTGTTCGACGTCAGCTTCCGGTACGGCGTGCTGCACGTGCCGGCGTTCGTGCTCGACGAGGGCGCCAAGGTGCTGCTCGCGAATCTTGTGGCGTTCGAGCAGGGAGGTGGCCGCGCGGCGCGGCAGCTGGACGAGGGCAACCTGGTGACGGGCTTCGTGGCGCTTGTCGGGTCGCTCGTGAACTCGCGGAGGGACTTGGAGGTGCTCCGCCGGTGCGGGATCATGCATTGCATGCTCGCCGACGACGACGCCGTAGCCTACTTCAACCACGTGGTACAGTACACGACCATGGACTACGATCGCCACGTGCTGGCCTGCCTATTCAGGGACGTTAGAGAGCACTGCCATTGGAACAGATGATCGCGCGCTCTGCACTACCGTGGTTCCATTTGGCATTTGTGTAATTATTTGTTTGGAATTATATATTAATTTTGTACCATCAAACTAAAGACATCTACTGTCACTACTTCATGCAATGACAATTTAAATGGAGAAAGCTAAAGAATAATTGATTTATTTGGAGAGGACAAACCCTTTATTTTTCTCTGAACAAGAGAGACGGCGCCGGCTTCGATGGATTAGTGGGCAACAACAAACTGACCCCTGCAGATCTTGGTGGGAGGAGGCCACAGGCAAAGCGCCTAGAGCGGAGCGAAGACAGTTCAATATACGATGATAAACACCTTCTCAGACCTCTGGAAAGAGGTTAAAAGGAGAATCTTCAACAACACTGTAGAAACAATGTTGTAGGTGTCTGTTATAATTAAAGATGACATAGAGTAAAGAAATGGAGCATTCGGTTAGGGGTTGCTTCATCTTTTGAGAAAAAAGGCTTTTCTCACTGAGGTGTCTCTTGTTCTTGGCCTTGAGGGGCGTGTTGTCTTTGCTTGTACATAAATATCTCTTTTTAATCCCTATCTTAATTGAAAGACAGAGCTCATGCAATTACTTTTTTTAGGTAGTCGATTAAGCGGAGTGTGGGCAAGGACGCTAAAACGTCAAGAGATTGGCGTGCTATGACTATGAATCATGCGGTAGAGGTACATAAAAGCAGGAGGAGGAGAGAGACGGTGCCGTTACAGATAACTAGATGATATGCTGTGCATTGATGTGGGATTTTGTATAGTTGTATGAAAAGAGAGATTATGGAAGAAGTGCAGAAAGCTCAGATATATAAACAATGAACAATAACGTGAATATGATGGTTCACCCCATTTTACAAACTTTTGCAGTGATAGTTTCTGACGTCATTTTCACAACTATCTTAGCACCACTCTTCTCTTCACCTAGAGAAAAATGTCCCAAAGTAGAACAATCTTGTCTGTTTAGCTTGAAATCTTAAACTTGGGAGACAATGACCCATCTTCAATGACTAAAAAGCTTGACAAAACGCCTACCAATCAAACGGTATCTGTTGATAAAGAAATATATATAGAGAGACGAGGAAACCATCTAAATGTTCACGTGAAAGCAGAACGTGTTACACTACGAAAGTGAGCATTGTTTGGGTTGTCATCTGGAGCTTATTATCAGCTACTAGCTGCTACGCACATGACTATTAGACTATATGAAGAAGCAACGTATTTTCATTTAACGGACGGCAAAAGCTTTGCTGTAATTTTTATTAGACGAAAAAAATAAAAGGGATTTACAACCGCAACTCAAAAAGTGGTAGCATGTTTGCATGGGCTCCAGGCAGCAATCGACCTCGGCATTTCTAGGGTGGTGATGGCAACGGACTCACTTCTACTGAACAGGCCGTGGAATCCCAGGCATGGAGTTTGTCCTCGTCAGACTTTCTGATTGAAGAGATACAGGAGTTAGCTCGGCTAAACCTCCAATCTTTTCATTTCCGTGCTTACCAAGATCTTGTAACAAAGTAGCACATGGCTTAGCAGCGTTGGGACTTGGGGTGTGCGTGTGGGGAAGATGAGAATCCCTTAGAGGATCCATCTCCTGATTGTATTCAGTTTTTGGTGATTGCCGATCGTGCAACACCCGAGTAATGGAATTCTATTTCCGCTAAAAAAAAACTCAAAAAGCAAGAAGCAACATATAGAAGTCAAAATAAATTAATTACTACTTTTATTTAATCGGCCGCCACGCCCGCCATACTGAAGTATGTAGCGGAATGCTTGACCAATTCCCATGCATGCGAGATGCATTCATGGAGAGAGGGACAGGAACAGAAGCATTTTTTTAGATTAACCGGAGCTTTATATTAGCCATGAGCAGAATTACAGTCATCATCATATATGATCTCCCGTGGTTATAAGCCACTCCACCACCAGGTTTTCAACTTTTTACGGGAAGCCATTTTAGCACACTCATGCGCTACTCTATTACAGGATCTACGGACCGGAACATAAGATTGGTGCAGCCTTCAGGGTACATGCATGTTGTTCGCTCCTCTGCCTTGTCCGTTCGCCACCTCTCGCTGAGGCACTAACGCCGCGAAGCCACGCATGTTGTCTGCTCCTCTACCGTGTCCACGCATGTTGGGTTGTCGTGAGCTTTGGGGCCGGGTGGATTATTTTTCGGTAATCTTGGGCGTAGGGTGTCTGTCCGCGCCGACGCTCCCGATGGTGGAACAGCCCGCGCTAGCCCAAAGACCGCCCTCAACGGTAATTCTTATCTGCTCATCTACTCGCACTCGCTTCCAATCGTTTAAAAAAAACTCACCTCACGTATTGCCGCCGCACGCCCGCGCCGCCTCGGTTACTGCACTCTCCACCGTGCCTCCGTCTCCACGGCCCCTCTGCTCCGCCAGCCGGCATCTCCACCGCGCCAGAGCGCAGTAGCCCGTCTTCCCCCTCTCCACCGCGCCTCTCGCCCGCTGCGGCCTTCTAGAGTGTGTGGATCCGTCGTGGCCTTATCCACCAAAGCGACAAGCTCCGCGCCACCGGTGAGCTCTACACCGGTGAACTCCACACGCCGACAAGCCTCCATTCCCAAACAGCAAGGAAATATTACGCTGAAAGCGCGTGTTGCAAACGTATGTTTCAAGTGTTTCAGATGTTTTAGAGGTGTGTTGCAACTGTTTTATATCGGTGTTTGCAAAAATAGATCGAGATGTTGCACATGTTGTAATGGCTATACATGTATGTTTCAAGTGTATGTTCCGACTGTTTCATCTGTTTCAGACGTATGTTGCAAGCGTTTCATCTGGATGTTGTAAAAGTATATCTGGATGTTGCATATATATGCATGGTTGCAAGCGTATGTTTTTAAGTGTTTTCGGTTGGTCTATGTTTCAAGTGTTTCATCTAGATGTTGCATATATTTTTGGAATGGCTACACACGCGTTTTCCGGTGTTTCAGACGTATGTTGCAAGTGTTTCAGTTGTTTTGGACGTATGTTGCAAGTGTTTTATCTGGATGTTACAAAAGTAGATCTGGTATTGCACATGTTGCAATGGGACCCACCTGCCGTCGTGCATATGCGTGGGAAGCGGAGGGATGGAAAGCGGCGCGACAGCGAGTGTAGGAAGCGGAGGGGGATGGCGGCAGGGGCACGGGCGGTCCCCACCTGTGCGTGCAGCAGGGCGCAGGCGCGGGCTGTCCCCTCTGTTACGGGTGGAACCAGATAACTTTACAGGCCGGGTGGAAGTTACGGGTGGAACCAAATAACTTTACTGGCTAGGTGAGAGCTGCATTCGGGTGCCTCTTGGGTCCAGACGTGCGGGCGCTAGCGTCTCCTATTATTTTCAAGGGATATTGTGAAAAGAAGACGAGGAGGTGGAGCCGTGGAGGAAGACATGCGGACTCCAACTGTTATTCAATTTATGCACCGGGATTGGATACGGAAGGCGTCTCCTGAGCTACTAAGGTGGGGACGCTTCGACGGTTCTTTAGCTGCACTTGCTTGACAGAAAGTAACGTACTTGTGATGACGTGGCTTTACCATATTACATAGAAATCTGTTAGTGGTTGTCTCCTATTTAGGGATATAAGATAGAAGATAAGGCCTTTTTTAAGGCTAGTTTTTTAGACTAAAATACCTCCGTAAAACATAGGTCTGTAAAATTATACACGTTGGATTGGAAAATGTTGCTTGGAAGGCTGGTTAACCTACTAAAATTACAAGTGTTATAGGCTGTTGCAACCGGGAAAATATAACGACCTCCTATCGTGAAATGTCCCAACAACGACCCATCTTCCCATGCGCCGCAGCAACGATCCCCATCTTCCCGTGCGCCGTACCCATCCACTCCTCCATGCCTCTCTAACGCCCCAATTCCATTATGACGGTCGTTCACCCGATTGAAACGCGGCGAACGATCCGACCGCGTGCTTTACTTTTTGGTCATGCGCTCCTTTCCTTTTCCGTCTACATAGACTAACGCTCGAAATATCCCCCTCCCCAAAACTTCTACGGAACGCGACTCCTCTCCCCGTTCTCCTTCCCTTCCTCGGCAGATCCGCCGCCGCCCTGTTGAAAGGTCCTTATTTGGTTTTGGTAATTGAGTGACAACCTTAGGTGGACTAATATGTGTTTGAGTGAGATACACAGGTGATTAGTCCATAAGTACATCATGTGTGAGCAACCTATGCCATGGAGGTGAAATGGCTTGGATATGTTGCAAAGCTCACACATTTGATGAAGGAGCTTATTATTGCATATGAGACATGACATGGAGTCATGTGACTAAGGTGGAGAAGATCAAGACAAGACTTGACTTGATGGACCGGTTGCAAGTGTGAAGGGCAAGTTGGAGGCTTTGGAGCGATGGATCGTGTGGAAGTGAAGCTTGAGCAAGACTTGGTGCCGATGGACGAAGGCAACGGTGAAAAGCAAGTGAGGTCAAGATCGATGAACCAACAATGTCACATGATAATATGAAGTGGATCATATCATTCATGATATGGTTGGTGCATGTGTTGCATCAACATTGGAGGAGATGGAATGGAATGCACAAGGCAAAGGTATAACCTATAGGGCATTTCATTTCACCGGTCATAAGTGTGTAGAGAAGTTTATGACTAGGTTTAGGATAGATGTTTGTACTATCAAGGGGGGACTTGTTTGCATATCGGTCATCTAGTGCCACTCGAGTGATCTAACTTTGCATCGTTGCTATGATCGAGTGGCATGGCAAGTTGAGTGACTAATCCTTTGGGAAATGATTGTGAAAATGCTAACACACTTGCACATGGTGGTGAACAATTGGTGGTGTTGGCACATTTGTAAAGGTAGTGAAAATGGAGAAGAGATAGCACATAAAATGATGATTTTAATGGTGCAAACTCTCAACAAGCAATTCCCATTTCTCAACAAGAAATTCTTGTTGAGGAATAGTGAGTGGGGACAAGCTTGCATGTGTGTCAGTGAGGTGTCAATGAGAGAGAAATGAGCTCAACCGGCAATTCTCCTCTCTCGGCAAAAAATTATGGCTGAGGTATAGTGTATGAGAGAGAGGTGCAGAGAGTGACCGGACGCGGGTCAGTTGGTGTGACCGGACTCTATCGCATGAGTCCGGTCAGCTTCGTGACACACTAACGAGTGGGCGTGGCTGTGACCGTGAAAGCTCTAGTTTGGTTTTGGTGAATTGATGAAACCCTAAGTGCTAACCTAGTTTATCAAGTGATCATGAGATAGGTAGCACACTCCAAGTGGTGAAGCAAATGAAGATCATAGCATGATAAAGATGATGGCATGGTGATGATCAAGTGCTTCGACTTGGAAAGAAAAAAGAGTAAAACAAAAAGCTCAAGGCAAAGGTATAATTTGTAAGAGCTATTTTGTTTTGGTGATCAAGACACTTAGAGAGTGTGATCATATTTAGGATTGATAGCCGTACTATTAAGAGGGGTGAAACTCGTATTGGAATGTGGTTATCAAAGTGCCACTAGATGCTCTAACTCATTGCATATGCATTTAGGATCTAGTGGAGAACTAACACCCTTGAAAATGTTTGTGAAAGTATGCTAACACATGTGCACAAGGTGATACACTTGGTGGTTGGCACATTTGAGCAAGGGTGAAGAAGTTAGAAGTGAAATGGAGTTGGTCGCAGTGATGCTGACGTCGGTCAACTGACCGGACGCTGAAAGGCTACGTCCGGTCGAGTGGTTGGTTGACACAGTGGTTAGGGTTAAGCACCGGACGCTAGGCTGTGTCCGATCAAGCATGACTGGATGCGTCCGGTTGGCAAAAACTGGTTTTGGACCCTTAATGTAAACGACCGGACGCTGAGGGTTCAGCGTTCGGTCAATTCTGTTGGAGCGTCCGGTCAGCTTGTCGACCGTTGAGATCAAACGTTCACTGTTGAACGCAGGAGACACGTGGCCGCCATCGGGCGACCGGACGCTGAGGACCAGCGTCCGGTCAGCCCGATCAAAACCCAGTGAAGGGGTATAACGGCTCTATTTTGTGGGGGCTTCTATTTAAGCCCCATGGCCGGGTCAAGCTCACTCTCTTGGCCATTTGTATTGACATAGCAACCTTGTGAGCTTAGCCAAAGCCCTCCCACTCATTTCCACATCTTTGTGAGATTGGGAGAGAATCCAAGTGCATTGCTTGAGTGTTTGCATCTAGAGGCACTTGGTGTTCGTGTTTTGCTATGGATTTCATTTGTTACTCTTGGTGGTTGCTGCCACCTAGATGGCTTGGAGCAACAAGGATCGTTGAGCGGAGGGTGGTGATTGTCTCCGGCTCCGATTGTGGTGATTGTGAGGGGTTCTTGACCTTTCCCCGGCAGAGCACCAAAAGGTACTCTAGTAGATTGCTCGTGGCTTGTGTGATCCTCATCTTGTGTTGGTTGTGCGGCACCCTATTGTGGGTTTGGCGTGTGAAGCCAATTAGCGCATGAATCTCCAAGTGAGTGTATCGCCACAACGAGGACTAGCTTGCCGGCAAGCAAGTGAACCTCGGTAAAAAAATCATTGTGTTCATCATTGATTCCGAGGTGATTGGTCTTCATTGTTATTCATCCTTGTGATTGATTGGTTCCTTCATCTACACGGCGGTATAACTTTCTTAATCACGCTCTTTACATTACCGTCAAACTAGTTGTCAAGCTCTTTAGCGTAGTTAGTTGTGAGAGCTTGCTTGCTTTGTTGGTGTGGCTCTTTAGTTAGCTTTTGAGAGCACACTAACATAGGGTAGTGTTATAGCTATTGTGTGATTAGATACTATCGTAACTAGAATTGCGGTAGGTGGCTTGCATTTTAAGTAGGCTAGCGCAACACTTGCTTCGCCTCATAATTGTCTAACCATTTTTTTAAGTGTTGTTGCAGAAATTTTATTAGGCTATTCACCCCCCCTCTAGCCATTAGGACCTTTTAGACCGGACGCTGGCGTGAGGAGTGACCGGACTCACCTAGGTTACTGTTCATAGTCTAACACTGCACGTAGAAGTACGACCGAACACTGGGAGAGTCCGGTCAGGGGTGATCGGACACATCCGGTCAGCAAAAGTCATCTCTAGAACCTCTCTAGATTCGATCGGACGCTGGCATTTGAGAGTCCGGTCATTTCTAGTGTCGAGTCCCGTCAGTTGCTGATTGTGCGCGCGCGTTGGGAGTCATTGGGCATCAACAACTAAATTCAAATGGCTAGTACACGTGGCGGTGTTGCAGCGACCGAACACTGTGACCTGCGCGTCCGGTCGATTATAACAGCGAGTCCGGTCATGTTGATAAGTGCCCAGTGAAGGTGTACGATGGCTCTATTTTCTTAGGGGCTATAAAACCAAGCACTGGTCAGCCTTAGACTGGTTGCTGAGCACCCTTAAGCCTTGATGGCTTGTGTAGGTGTGCTTGAGAGCCCTCTAACTCACATACGCTTGATAGAGATCATCCGATTGAGTGTGAGTGCGATTCTAGTGCGATTGCATCGTGAGGGTGCATCGAGTGGCACTAGGTGATCATGTTGCAAGCCGATGGTGCTTGTTACTCTTGGAGGTTGCCACCTCCTAGATGTCTTGGTGGTGGTCTCTGTCGAAGCACGCAAAGAAGATTATACGTTGCTCCGGAGAAGTGATTGTGAGCGGGATTGTGCTCACCCCGCGGGAGCCGCGAAGAGCAACTCTAGTAGAGCGAGACACGAAGGGCGACAAGTGATTTGGCCGGGTCAAGTGCTAGAGCTTGTGGTAAGCACTCTATGTGGAAGAGTGTGACTTGCGGGTCACCACTAGCAAGAGGACCGGCGGCAACCTTGGAGCTTGTCTCAATGGGGACTAGCGTGTTGGCAAGCACGTGAATCTCGGGTTAAATCACCGTGTCATCCTTATCTTTCTGTTGGTTTGCATTCTCCTTTACACAAGCTTGTACTTACATCTCATATATTATGCTTGTGTAGTTGCTCTTGTAATTAGTTAGCTTGTGTAGCTTGCTAGTTACGTTCTTACTTGTGTAGCATAGAAGTAGCTCCCTCGTGTAACTAGTTTAGTTTTGTAGTAAATTAGTTGCCTTGCTTAGTTTGTGTAGCTAAGTAATTTACGCTTTCTAATTTGGCTTGTGTAGCCTTGTTATTGAGCATTGCTAGTGAGCTTAGAAGCTTTGTGCTTTTGCTTACTAGAATTGTGTAGGAGCTCCTCCCGTTGCTTGAAGTACTAGTTGCATAGGTTTGTGCGACCTTGCAAGCTAGAATTATTAGATGAGCTCTAGCTAGCCCGACACCTTTGTTGCCTAATTAGGATCTTTGTAAGGTGCTTGATAACCTAGATAGAGGGGTGTAGTCTTAGCTAGATCGATAGTTTTAATTTTGCACTTGTTTCGATTAGAAAGGACTATTCACCCCACCTCTAGTACACCATCTCGACCCTTCACCTGTGCGCCATGCGCCAGTGCCCCTGCACACTGCACCGCACCACCACAAGCCCCCGCCCTTGCCTCCATCCCCCGCACTCTCTGCGTCGCCACAAGTCCTCTCCTCCATCGCCGAGGCTGTCGGGGATGACCACACCGACGACTTCCCCAAGGAGTTCCTTGCCCTCGTCTTCGGTCTCCTCAGCTCCGGTGACTACATGCGCTGCTCCCTCATGTGTCGCCGCTGGCTAGCCGTAGAGGCCACCTCCCACCTCCGCCTCACGCTCGACGCCAGGGCGTCGCTGCTCGCTGACTCCATCCTCCCTCGCCTCCTCACGCGCTTCCCCGCCGTCTCCAAGCTCACGCTAAAGTACGACCGCCGCGCCGAGAGCGTCGACGATTCGACCCTCGCACAAGTTGCTGACCGCCTTGGCCTAGGCCTTCAGTGCCTCAAACTCCGCTCCCTGCGTGCGGTCACTGACAACGGGGTCACCATGCTCACCGCTGTGGCCGCTAACCTCTGCAAGCTCTCCGTCGGCTCCTGTGCCTCCGGAGTCAAGGGAATCGAGGCTGTCCTCCGCTCCTGCCTCCACCTCGAGAAGTTGTAGGTTAGCGACCATATCCACCTTTTGCTGCCTTTTGCACCTGCTGCCGCACCGCTACCAAATCCAGCGATGTGCTGCAAAATTAGAGGAGCATATGTGCGCAATTGAAGATTCAATAGAAACACACATTGGTGTTTCCCCAAATTTGAGAACCGATCAATAAACATCGATTGAGTTGCATGTAGAATCGAATAGATTTGTTGTTTTTGTTCTAATACTGCTGGATGGTCTCATATATGATTCTATAAACCTAAGTACTGGTTGTGATTACTTATGATTTAGTTCTCAATCCATTTGCTGCTAGAATTTTTGGATGGACTTGTTTGCGTTGCTAGCTTATTTATTAGTGATTCTAATTTTTTATTAAGTATATTTCGTTTCAGATGGCTGATCAGGGATACAGTGCTTCTGATGCAGCAAAGTCCATATCAATGGATGAGTTGGAGTCTTCCAGAATGATGTAAAATGTTTGTCTTGTTTGCCAATTTCTTTCTCAGTTTAGTTTAGTTCAAGTATCAATCAGATATGTTTTGTATCAGTTTTTAGTTAATTAGTTTGCGTAGCTAACTATGTTGTTTTATTTAAGAAAATCATTCTTCTAGAAGTGGTGATCATAGCTCTGCTCATAACACCACAGATGAAGATGGGAGTGACAATGACAGTGGGGACGACACAACTGAATCTTTAGTGAGTGATGTTTTGGTCTGTTAAATCATATGCATGTAACCTGTATATGGAACTTGGTTTATTAAATTATATGCATATAACTTGTATATTGTAGTTAGTTCAATACAAGTTAATATGTTCAACTTGCCATTCTAAATTATATGTTTAAGTTTTGTTTGCAAGTTAGTATGTTCAACTTGCCATTCTAACTTATATGTTTAATTTTTGTTTTGCAAGTTAGTATGTATAACTTATCATTCTAACTTGTCATTACTATGAGACAATCCGTGTAGTGAGAAAGATGAAAACTTATGATTGGTGTGATGCAATGATGAGTTGTCTAAAATATGCGGCTAGAGGCAATACTTGTGGGAAAGTGACGTTGTCTAGTTTCATTTTCGTCCTATTTGTAAGTATTTCTTTTTAGTCATCACACGTGCTTTTTATTATCTAGTTAAATTGTGCACTGTTTGCTAGTAAATTATTGTTAGAGAATTTTTATTATTTAGTTGATATCTCAAGAGGTAGAATTGCTGCTATATCTTCCATACATTGTAGAGATTTTGGCATGTCCTTAACTTAATAGTGTAAGTCATATGAATCAGCCAGGAGACTGGATCTTCCATGCACTGTAGAGATTTTAGTTGTTGAATTTGATGTTGAGTAGCTTCTCTCTTTTTTTGTTAATCAGGTGTTATCGAATGTGAGAAACTTGTGCCAAACTTTCTTCAAAGATCCATTCAAGCAATATATTTCATCTGTTGAGCCAGTCCTTGTCAGTCAATCGTGTGCATTGGTCAATTCTTTTATGTCTGTTCTTCAACAATCCCAATCTGGTGGATCTTCCAAAGAGCATGAAGATGCTGACATTCATTTTACATATACCGAAGGTTTTGCAAATATGTCAATTGACACTGATAGAACAGTTGGTGGTTGTAGCACCCGATTTCAAAAACAAAACCAGATATGCACCATATGTGAGCCTAGGAAGTCAAACCTCACATATAGCTATAAATAAGGGTAATATCAAAAGGCAATGCTCAATATATAACATATTTAGTATAAAGGAAATAACCTTAGACAGCAAACAGCGGAAAGACAACTCCGATCTTCGGGTGAAGACTCTAATCCACAGGGACAACTGACTGGTTGATCACAAGCCTAACTTCTCCAGACTAGCAATCTGGTACCCATCCGGGATTTTTATCCAAATAATGAAAATAAACAAGCGTAAGTACGTGTCGTACTCAACAAATATAACATGGGGTTCATGAGGCTCAAAAGGTTGACACTAGTTAACTGCGATTAGCTTTTAATGAGTCATGATTTTAGCAATAGGGTGGCAACAAGTTTATCCACAAGTCCACATAAACTCATGATCAGGTAAACATGAATAATAAATAGCATAAACAGTAATCATTAGTGGGCATCTTCATTATCAGCATCATCAGTGTTCATCATCTATTCCATAAGGGTCCAAGGCCGCTCATGACTGTGAGCGCGACTGATATACCAGTTTTACACTCTGCAGAGGTTGTACACTTTCACTGTGAGTCATGATTTACCCTTTCGCCCGAGGTAGCTAATCTCTTGACCCACTTCCAAGGAAGGTCGGTAGGGTTCACTATGAAGCCTTTCAAAGGTTCGTCTAACAAGTTAGGGCCATTAGATTCACTCGGCAAACAGATATAGGAACCCCCCTATCGAATGGCACAATTCCATCATGGCTATACACATAAGAGTAGAGGCTATCCTATACCCGATTCGTCAAGCCATTCTTATGCCAATAAAGGTAACCACTAATAAGCTAGAAAAGGTCCTCATACTGAGCTAAAGTCAGAGCCATATAGCCCTCACAGTTGTACTGTAAGTCCTGGATGATCACTTATAGATAAGTTCTTAGGGAGAGGAATCTAGAGCACCATAAAACAGTCCAATGCTCTAGCCCCCTTGTTCCATATTGCTAAAAACATCTTTTAATATTTATTGCATATACCATTAGTCAAGTTACAAGATCATGGTTATTCATCTTGAGCACTAGCATAATACTATCCAATGCATAATCACCCATGGTGTCAAGGTACAAGATATCAAATATCTAGGATATCTTTATTGGCAACAAGGTAGACACATGCAATATGAATTAAGTGATTAAAGGTGAATAGGTAACAAGGATGGTCCCATGCTATACTTGCCTTAAAACTCTGATCTTCTTCTAATCCAAATCTTCAAAGATCTGCTTCTTGATTCATCACGTATAGCTCACCGACTAGACAAGATCATTTAGCACCATACAAGCATCCGAACAAACATGCATAGCATTCAAACATAACTATATTAGAACAATACACCAATCAGTGAAAAAGAATTTGAAATCAAATATACGCGTTGCTACGATCACACAGACACGAAAAGTACGCTAATCGGAGCTACGGCGAAAAAGATACACCTACCGATAGATTTGCTTCGAAAAGAAACTATAGGCTTTATTTTAGCTATATAAAACATTTATAAGATACTTCAGAGAAATACCTTAATTGAGTTTAGTCAAATTATACTTGATTTAGAAAAACAAGGTAAAACTAATCATATAATTGACCAAGGTGAAAAGCCTAAGTTACTTTTAATTAGAAAAATCCAATTACATAATCATTATTCAAGTTAGGTGTTAAACCATAAAATTTCAGAGCTCTTGACAAGGAAAACATGGATACTAATGCGTAGATTATGTCATTACGAATCTAACGCAACTTGAACGGGTCAAATCGGAGTTAAAACGGGAAAATATGGCCTAATGAAGATAGTGGCAATTTTGTAAATAGATGGAACTTGATTTTTGAATTTAAAATAAATAAAAATCGGATTTAAAACTGGCCAAGGACTACGGGCGTGATAAATAAAAAGAACATGGGCTATTTAGAATAAAAGCAGGGACGGCAGGTTCTATATTAAAAAAAGCAAGGGACTCTTTAGAAAATCTTCCATGCGAAGGGGTACGATGGATCTGGGAGGTTGGATTAGATCTAGACGGTGGAGAAAGAAGGGAGGGAGATGGGGATCTACACAGGGTCAGCCCGGCAGCGCCATGGCCGACGATGCTCGGACCTCGCCGGCGTAACTGGTTAAGGCCTATGGGTTACGGCTGCTTCAACTGATGACACGGGAAGATAGAGCAGATTACGGTGAACTCGATGGGAGTATTGGTTGAAGCAGGGGATGAACAGATACGGCGGCATACGCTATCTTGTGGCTCGACTTGGTTCAGTGATGGTGCGCGGACGGAGAAGGAGGAAGAGAGGGCAAAAGCAAAGCACCGGGAGCTTCCTTACTGGGATGTGAAGGCCGGGGAGTGGTTTAGAGCGATGGTGGAGCATGGTCATGGCGAAATCACATGCGGCGGTGGTGTTCTAGGGTTGCGGCGGTGCTTGAGAGCTCGGGGTAGGGCTAGCCGAGGGCGGAGTAGCTCGGGGCATTATTTATGGGGGCTCAGCAGCTTGAGGCGCAAGCCAAGGCGAGGAGACAGAGCGGGGAAGGACACGGACTCGGTGATGTCCGCACTGGTGACGAGAGGAGGAAGAAGGGACTGACAAAGCGATGCCGGGTTGTCGGCGTGAGAGGGAGCGGAAGAGGAGCGTGCGCGGCGGCTTCTGCTGCTACGGCTATGAGCTGGGCCACGGCTTGGGCCGAGAGAGAAATAGAGGAATGGGAAGATTGGGCTGGGAGAGGGAGATGACCACGGTTGGGCTGCTCGGGCTGAAAGCCAGAGAGGGAGGGAGAGAAAGGAAGAGAGGTTTTCTATTTTTTTCATTTTCAAATACAAATTCCAATCAAATTCAAATTCTTTTGAAATTTTGATCAACCCAAGTATCACAAAAAAATATGCATCAACTTGAATGCACAAACATGTTGCTACCTTATGATAAATTTTAAATTAAGAATTTTTTTATTTTTCCTATGTTTTTATGAGCACATAAATTCATAAATAAATCATTTTAATCCGATTTTCAAAAGTACGAATTTTAGGGTGTTACAGTGGTTCTTTCAAAGTGTTCATATTCAGTGTCGAGAAGAGTTGATGTTTACAATATGGGCATTGCTTTTGGTATTGTGTCCAATTCAACTAGCCAGTATGGTTCTTTGACTTCTTGTCCAAATTTTGGAAAATTCATATCATTTGTTGAACCTTTAAAAGATTAACATTTCAAAAAATTCATTATTTTTTCAGAAATGACAGTGGAGTATTTGTTCTTCAATTCCTTAAATCTTATGATGGCTAGACTCACCTTTATTTTAAAAAGGTATTACTTTGTGCAAAATTTATTACATATTTTAAGTAT